GGAATCTGAGCGAAGGGTATAAGGAACTCTCTGTACTATTTTTGCAACACTATTTTAAGCCTAAAGTTATTTTAAAATAAAAAAGTATAAAAAATAAGAGAATGACCTTCCACTTAATTTCATTAGCACTCCTTTTTTTTCTCTTTGTTCCTAAATGGTCATGTGGTCCTGAACGAAACGTTTCATCCCTCTGGGTCCCAGTTTCTCAACTATGGGGAAAAAAAGAAAAAAGAAAAAAAGGAGGGCCACAAGTGGATTGCCAAGCTCCAAGGAATGGTTTTCTAATACACTTGCAGCGTGATTCAATTTCCAAAAGTGTGATTTGAGGTGGCCTCTTAGTGCCTTCGCATTCTGATGTTTAGCACTGTGCCTACACAAAGTAGGTACTTAGTACAGGTTGTTGGAATAAACTGGCTCATACCGCCAATGGTTCATTGAGGTAGAACAGGTCTCTCTTTTACTCAGTTGGCCACTAGAGAGCAAAGTGCTCAGAAAGTTTTCTCCATTGAAAGCAACTTATCTGCATTCAGCAGAGAGGAGGGTCCTCTACATCCCAGACAAGTAAAAATCAGCCCCTGGCAGGAGAGGGTTGTCACTACCTGCCAGCCATCAGACAGGACCTCCAGGTGGGTGATTAATACCATATGCATCCAGATGGCCCACAGTGCTGCCTCTGACCCTCTCCCAAGTCCTCAGCACCTTCCAAAGTCTAAGCCACCTCAATAGATGAGAGCTTGAATGGCAGATTGTGACCCTGCTCCCAGTGCATTGTTGTCTTCCTAAGGATCCTGTCCCATTTCTTGAACAAATTTCACTTTAAAGGGTTTGGGAGGAGCAGATTTAGGAGGACAAATGAATGAATGTGGAAATTGACTAAAACATTTATAAGCAATATGAAAGAAAGCATTAGCCTTCCAGGCAGCCCGAGACTCAGCCTGTGTGAGCTGCAATTTGTACAGTGAAGCAATAGAGGCCATGGTTAGGCATCCTGAATTTAGAGGTTGCTTCCAACATATACATGAACACATTTGGTAGCCCTGAGACTTTGGCATGTGTCCCTCTAATACGGGCATTGGGGCTGCTAATGAGACAGGTTCACAGGGCTGAGTATAACAACTCAGTCAGTCAGTCACTGGAAGGGAACAGGAGGGCAATCTGTCTTCAGTTTGTCCTCATAAATGTTTTTTTGCAAACATATTAGTACTGTATCTCTTTTGAACAGAGCAGGAAACTCAGGCTCTGATAGTCTACACAAAGCAGGTGGAGGTCTCATTCCCAGAAGTTGCATACCTGTCTCAGGCATGGAAAAGCCTGCCTGCCTGAAAATTGTCCTCCTGAGGTCAATCACAGTGCCTACCATTTGAACTTCTGCAGGTTGCATCATTTTATCTTCCAAATCAGTGAGAGGTGAACTGAAGCTGGCTTCAAGTACTGACATGCTGCTTTTGTGATCA